ACAGGCATTCTCACTGCCTTCAGGAGAACTGAAAGCAGCACTACCATCCTCCTCTATAGACAATCACCTCCCAAGGAAAAAGCTACCACATCATCAAGGCAGCCTTCTCAAACTGGTCCAGTAACATGGTCCAATAATACACTCATTTTAGAACAACCTTTATTTCACTGAAAGAAGAAGACATGATTTCACATGTTTTAAGAGTGTACACCTAAAACACAGATTTCCAAACTTAGGCATCATTCATCAAAAAGTTAAAAGGGGCTTTTTCTGCACACGCATGGATTTCAGACCAACAGGATTTACTTGTTTTCTGCCTGTTCCCGGGGAACCTCTGCAGTTTCTTTTTTTCCCAAGACTGTCCCTACAGGCTGCTATCCAACATATATCAGATGCTCCTGGAGCAACAGATAACTCTGGAAGGACATTTGCAAAGGGCACAAATAGAGGGCCCAATGCTGGTAAAACTGAGGCATACTGGGGGAGGGTGGATTTACTCCTGTATGTCAATAACTTTAACACTCAACTCGGTCCCCTGGAAGGTTTTATTCATGCATCTAAGTACTTTTTCCCAGATGTTTCAGTATCAAAAAATTTAAGTAAATCAAAAAATTACTGCAACTTAAAAAGTGAGTCCCTTACAAAAACTCTGAGGTTAATTTTAGCATCCTTCTGTTTAGCTGCTTAGCAACACTTATCCTATGACCTTCTAAGCACCACCTACTTTTGCAGGGGATAATGAATATAATCAAAGGGATTTATCTATATGTTTTTAATCTATACAGTGTAAGTACATGGACAGTTTTTATTTAAATTAGAAATCCAATAGAGAGCAACCCAAACTATTTCTGCTTAAGAAGAAACTTTCACAGACTGAAGTCAAGCTACTGTTACGACTGCAGTGTAACTCTGACATCGGCAAAGTGATAAAATCCTTAAGGATTGGGAAAAGCACTACAGAAGCCAGCGTTTGTATGCCTTGGGGAACACTACACGTGCCTTTGGTACCAAAGGAGATTATAGGTATCACCAACAGGTAATGAAAACACCCAGTTTCCCCAGTTTGGAAACTTCAAAAATCTCCTGACCCTCAAAATCAGAACAAAAAGCCACTTGGTCAGACGGACACTAAACACTGTAAAGAGTGAAGAATGGGCACACAACCTGGGTGAGCTGAGCCAGAATAAGATGTTTCACTACACTGAAGCCTGCAAGCAAATAAAGCTTCAAACAACCAAGTCTGGGTGCAAACAAAAAAAAAAAAAAAATAAATCAACAATTGCTAAAACCAGTCAGCAAACACCCTGTTATATTCTGTCTTAACACCAAGCCAAAAACGCATGTATTTATCATTATTAAAAGATATGTGTAAGAGTGGCTACATAAACAGTCACTCCCGATGGACAAACAACAGCTTAACAACTAGAAGCTGCAAAATTAGAGCAAAAGTTTAATTGATCATACTTGAAGGATGGTATTTTTAACTATATGACATGAACTGAGTTCCAAATATGACTGAGAGGAGGATGAAGGTAAAGGAGTAACAAGAGGCCGCATCGTGCCAAGCACAGCTGCCCCGCAGCAAGAGAGGAGGCTGGATGTGTCCCTCTGCAGCAGGTGAGGGGGAGCCCTGGTACTCTGATTGATTGGATGATGGATTCATGCTGTTCCTGGGTTTCTAACAAACAAAAGGGCCTATTCTTCCCTGGATGTACCCAGCTCCCGTTAAAGCTAATCGGCATTATGCAGGCACACCAAGAAAAGACTATATACCCTTAAGTCTTCAAAGAGAAAATTAAAACCTAAAACAAATATGGCTGGCATGACCCTGAGTCACTGCATCCCTTTCACGCACGCTGACCCTGTGGAAAACAGGAACTGCAGTAACAAAACTCAGTGCTCATGTCAAAACGACAGACCTCAACGAAAAACTTCAGCCATCATTAACAGCTGTCTACTGTGCACTGCAGGGGTGACAAGGCGGTGTTATTTAGCAACTGCTCCTGTCGTTAATAAGCATTTTTGTTTCTCCCAGGGCACAGGGTTGGATGTTGGAATGGTAAGAAACATCAGCCGCATCTGCCTTCTCTCCACTGTCCCCAAATCACACTGAACTAGGAGTTTTAACTACCTTCTCAAACGGGTAACCACACCAGATCTTATCTGCAACAGCAGACAGGGGAAAGAGGGAGTCGGGAATCCAAACTGGATGGTTGGTGTGTCTCCCCCTTCCCACCAGAAATCGGTGATTCCAGGGCAGGATGCTGGCTCCTCGCCGGGCAGGACCAGAGCATCAGCTCCGGGCCGGACACCCCGGGATGGCCGTGGGAGGGCAGCGGGCACGGAGGCGACCAGTGGGGGCCTCCGTGGGGTGCGCAGCGCAGCGGGGCAGGCAGGGAAAAGTGCTGAGCCAGGAGAAGCGCTCTCCGCCTCCTCCTGCTGCGTAACGAGGCCAGGATGCCAAGCAGGCGAAGATACGGAGAGGTGAAACAGGGAACATTAAGGAAGGGAGGGGGGAAAAGCAGGGAAAAGAGGAAAAAATGAAAAAACTCAAGCGTACGTGCGGAGGGGAGAGGCTGGGAGAAGTGCAGGGAGAAGAAGCCAGAGGAAACTTATCTGCGACATGACAAAGTTCAATCCACCGCCCTCCCTCCTCTGCTGAAAGAAAAGTTGCAGCATCTCGCCGCTCCGGGGCCCGGCCCGGCCCGGCTCTGCCCCACAGCCCCCGCGCCCGGCCCAGCCCGGTACCCCAGAGCCCCGCAGCGGGGCGATGGGGGAAACATCCCAGCCCAGTGTACGATTAACTGGGCGGGAGGCTGTGCCTCACATCCTCACCGCGGAGCCAACGAGGGGAAAGAGGAGGGGGTGTCTCCGGGCCCGTAGCAACGGCGATGGGTCGCCTGAGAGACGGGTCGCGGCTGCAGCCAGTCCGCACCGGGCACGGCGGTACAGGCCGGGGGGGATGGAAAGGGGGGCGAAACTTCGTTTTCACCCGAAACTCCGGCGCTGCGGGGGGTAACTCCACTGTCCCTCCGGCAAGATGGGGAAGAAGGGGGCAAGAGCGACCCCGGGACGGACCCCCCACCCCCGCCGTCCATCCGCCTCGGATGCTGCCCAGCTTCTTCCTGTAGTGGTGACGCCGCCCAGGAGTCCCTGCCCGCCGCTGGCCTCGCCGCGTTGGGATGTGCTGCTGGCACCGCATAAAGGCAGCGGGACGGGGGGGACCCGCTGGGGGCAGCGATCCCCCACCCCATCTACTTTCCCCAGGGCCTGGCTCCCCCCGCCTCCTAGCAGGCCGGGAGGGGAAAGGACACGCACGTCGCTACCCGGGGGGGGGGGGGGGGGGGGGGGGGGAGGGAAGGAAGGGGGAGAGAAGTTTGGAGCTGGGGGATAAAGCGGAGGAAAGTGGATAAAATAGACTAAAATAAAGATATGGGAGGGGGGAGAGGCGCCGGCAGAGGTACCGGGAAAGGGCAGGCAGGGCCGGCCGGCCCCGCGGCTTAAAGTCAGAGGAGAGATGCGCGGCGCAAGGCGGCTCTACCTGCGACGAAGGGTCGCCTTCATCACAACTTCCCAGCGCCGGAGCGGCCCTCCCGTCCGGGAAAAGCGGTCAGAGGCCGCCGCGGGACCCGCCGCCGCTGCCGGCGGCAGGAAAAGCAGCCCGGAGGAAAAGTTTAAAAGGCAAAGCGGCTGCGGGCTCTGGAGCGAGCCGGGCTAGAAGATGTTGCTTCTTCGCAGCCCCATCCAAATTGTGGCGGTGGCTGGTTAAAAATAAACTTTGCAGCAGGAGGAGGGGGGGGATGATCTGGCCGGATTCCTGAGCTCAGACGGTTTAATATGGATGAGCATCAGGTCCTGAAGGCAAAACGCCGCGGCTGGTGCCGCTGGTTGGTAGAAAGTCTGCAACAGGGAAGGGGGAGAGAGGAAAAAAAAAAAAGAGAAAAAAAAAATCCAGGAGCCGCGGAGGGAGGAGAGGAGAGGGAGGAGCGGGGGAAGGGAAGGGAAGAGGGAGGCTGCACGAACTCATCATCATCTCCACCGCTGCCAGCCAAACTTTTTTCCTCCTCTTTCCTTTTTTTTTTTTTTTTTTTAGGAAACTTTTCCTCCTTTAAAAACCGTTTCAGTTGTTTAAAGAACTCTCACGACCGGCCGACACGCTGCGACCCCGCGCCCTCCCCGGCCCGGGAGAGCATTTTTCCCTCTTCCCCCCCCCCCCCCCCCCCCCCCATCACCAACCCTCCCGAAGAAAAAGAAGGAAAGAGAGAGACCCCTCTGGAGCTCGGTCAGCTCCTGCCCTTTGTGAGGGAGGGAGGGAGGGAGGGAAAGAGAGAAGGAGCGCGGCGGCGGTCCCCCCGCGGTACTTACGCCGGACTTTGCTGGGGCTGGGCTGCTTGCGCCGCGACATGCCGGGAGGATGGGCCGCCGGGGGGGGGCGCGGGGACGCGCCGGTGAGAACGGAGAGGGAGGGGGGTGGTGTGTGGGGTGTGTGTGGAGCGCGCACGGGAGGGAGCCGCAAAGTTGTTCCGGAAAAAGGAATCAAAATGGCGTTTCTGTGGATGTGTGCAAAGTTCATCAACTCCGCGCGAACTTCCCGTCCTCCGCGCCTCCCTGGAGGGGAGAGATGGGCACGGTTAGGGACCCCGCCGCGCCGCGCCCGCCCCCTGCCCGCCCCCCGCGCTGCCCCGCGCACCCTGATAAGGAGACACATCACGTGTCGCCCCGGCTTCTCTCCCGGGGACCGCCTGTTGCACGCAGCATCTCTCGCTCGCCCTCGCCGCGGGGAGGGGCGCCCCTCCGGACAGACAGCAGCGAGCACGGCCCCGGCCCCCCCCTTCCCCGCACCGGCCCGGCCTCGCCTCCGCCCGCCCCCCGGCAGCGCCGCGCCGGGATGCCCCAGGCCGGCGGGGGGGCGGCCAGGTGCCACGCGGCGCTCCGTGACACCCCCCTTCCCCGTCTCTCCGCGCCCGCGGGGCTCCCCCGCCCTGTCCCTCTCTTCTCTCCCGCGGGGCTCTCCGCTGTTCTCCCTCCCGAGCGTGCGTGTCCCCCGGCAGCCGGCGTGCGCTCGGCGCTGGAGCGCATCCGGAGCGGCCGCGCAGCCGGCTGCCGGCTTTAGGAGTTCATCGGGGCTCTCCGCTGGCTGTGGAAATGTCTGTGCATCATCCTCCTCCTCCTGCCAGCCCGGCGGCTCACCAGGTACAGCGGCCGCAGGCAGGAGCCCGCCGCTCCGGTCGCAGAACTCAGCTTCTTGCGTTGGTTGGTTGGTTTGTTTCCTTAGGAAACTTTCGTCCTTGCGCGTTTCGGGTCCCTGTGGGGGTCACTCATCCACCCGGCTGCCGGAACCTGAAGGACGTGAAATCCAAAGAGAGCCAGCACATCAGCAGAGGAACCGGAGGTCCAAATATCCCCGTGGCTAATCAAAGGAGACTGGGACGTTTGCAACCAGAGGTAGTTAAGAGGCTGCACAGGCGCGGTGTGTGGCACTGCACGTATGGTCCTTCCCGGCACCGTCACTGCAGGGGAAGCTCAAAGGTGTAGAAGGCTCAACAAGTGATGGAGAGGTGTTCAGAGTCTCGGGGATTGCACTTTAAAGCCCGTACCGGCTTAGAGTTATGTTAATAACATAATAACAGTACGGGAAAATAACGTAGCTGGAAATACTCCATCCTGAAAGCTCGATGGGGGGGGGGGGGAAGCAAAGCAAGGGTGAGTGGGGATAATGGGGATGGGAGGAACCGGTTTACACTTGAAGGAAATGGTTATTTGCACGATTTCTAGAGCTATTAAAAACCCAGGCCTTTTAAAGCTGTTACTGGTGAGATGGAAACTGAAGTCACAGGCTGTTTTGTGAAAAAAATCAAGTCCTGGCCTGTAAGTGAAAGGCTGGTACCAGTTTACGTGGTATCCTATCTCCTGGTTGAAAAGGGATTCACATGGAAAGGAGGGCTAAATTCCTGGTATGTGACAGCAAGCCCTCAACCAGCTCTTTTCACAGTCTTTTGTCTTTAAGGTGTCATTATTGATTTCCTTTGAACCGTTCTTTTCAAATACTGGATGAAGGCATAAGGTCAAGAACCCACAGGACCTGTCTCAAAGACATGAGCTGTGCTTCTTGTCAGGAATAACCCTCTTCCAAGTGAAACACCTGCAGGTCTGGTGATACAGAACCTGGCAATGCCAAACGTGCAAGACCAAGAGGTGCACACGTGTGTATTCAGGACACGAACCTGCAGCTTTAACTTACGTGTGCTTGTTGTCGTGGCTGTTTCTGCAGGCTGAATTTTCTGTCAGCCGGATTTTGTGCGGTATTATACATGAGCTTTGCGTATAAATTTCAACACTATTCAGCTTTGCTAAAGCAGGGTTGCTGACTGACAGAACAGCTACATAATAGCCAAGTTTGCCGCTAATATTGCCTGCAATAGTAGGGGCAAACATTAGAAAGTTCATTTTGATTGTTATGTTACAATGTTCTTATTTTACAAAACAAACAATCGAGAAATCATTAACAATAAATTCATTGCAAGGTATCTTTAACCTTTTCATCTCTGTCCCCGTTAACACCTGGCCAGCCCACAGAGGCAGAACTGCTGGTGAGTCCAACAGCTCTATAGCCAGCTTACATCTTTACTTCAGTATTTCTAGTGGTCATGCATGAGATTAAACGATAACCTGAGCAGTTTCCCATCACAAGCTCAGCCCTTAAAGCATGTTATTCACATTGGCAGGCTGCAGGGATTTAAGCCTGTGTGGCGCATCCATATAAACTGGTGGAGATTAGGCCTACGAGTTTACAACCTCAGGCCTTGTTTGCACAGACATTTGCATGAATTGCTGTAATTGAAACTGGTGCAAATTCCTGTATGGATAATCATCTTTGGAGGCTGGGGACCCATGTCTCACAGGTCTGTGCTTGGTAGCTCTGGAGTAGTCTTGGAGGCATCATGGGGCACCTCTGCATGAAGATCCCGCTTGCTGTATTTTCTAACTTCAGAGGTGCGTAAGCAGCCTTCCACATGGGAAGTTTTTAGCAAGTGGGTGGACAGAACAGGAAAACAGCGTTATTCAATTCAGCATCCAAAATCTGCTCCAGAAGCATAAAAATGCAAATACTACAGGTATTGTAAAGCTTACATTCAAGAACTAAATCAGGATTTAAGTGATTGGAGAAAATACGTAGGTATTCTTTAATCGCATTTATGTTTTTGTTTTAAACATCCCTATTCTTTTAGTAAGATGTAATGAAGGGTGAGCCAGCACATGCTATGTTAATGCTGTAAATGAAACAAAAAATCCCCAAACAAAACAAAAGCCCCTTATGTAATAACTAAAGAAAGGGTTCATGAAATAGAAAAAGCGATGTATCTAACAGTTTAGGAATGAGTTCTAATTCTGGGCTATCGCAGGGCAAGAGAAATTAAAATAACTTGGTTTCTAAACTTTCCATCATCCCAACTTTTATAATTCTCCAGAGACGTCAAAACTGTGGTCTAAGGCTTAATGTGAAATTCTGAGCAAATGGTTTTATTTTTTTTTATTCCAATAAAAGTGGAGATAGTTTTTGTCTAATAAAAAACACTTTTTGAATAAAATCACTCTCCAAAAATTACTGCAGTGCTTGCACGATAGAACTACTATCCTTTTCACTCTATTTTCTACCATCTACATTGCTCTGTTATATCCCATCTCCTTTGATCACTCTATTTATGACAGTTTAAATCTTTTTTTTTCCTAAGATTGCACATGGTTTGTGTACTTTCTGGGTATCGTGACATCAGAACAGTGATGGGATATACATATGTATGTATATATATGTATATGTAACAGAAGTATATGTATATATAACAGATATGATAAGGGGCAAGAAAGCTCATCTCTAACTTCTGTATAACTTCCAGCTTCTATGCAACCCTCACAGACCCCTCTGGTCCTACATAGTGATGTTAACTGCAATGAGCAATAGTAGAAATAAACCCAGAATTTTTGTGGAGGTATTTTGTGCATTACCAATTCCATTAAAACTACTGGGTGACACAGTTGTCTTGGTGACATAAAAGCCATCTGCTGCGGTCCCAAGAAAAGGAAAACTCTGCCCCTACCTGCAGTTCAAATATCAGAGATGCTGATTGAAGGTATTCAAGGAGAGAAGAAAAACAGGATGTGTATCTTTTATGAAGGCCATAACACGAGGATACACTGATGTCTTAAACTGCAGAGACTGAAGCTAATATTGCCATTAAAAGAGGGGGTGAAGGTTAGCTAGAAAATCTATATTCCCTCTGTCTTATTAGACGTTATTGATGTCCTCTGCTTTAGATCATGGTACTTGGAAGTTACTTTGATTTCTTGCAGTGCTTACACATCCCTTTCAGCCAAAGCAGTTTGGAGTTAAATCAGTTCTCTTACTAATCAGAAGTATTTATTATGCAATAAGAGGCAGCATTGGGCCCTGACATTCTAACACCTCACAACTGCTGGGTGAGGGCAGCTGCCAAGAACCAGCTCCCTCATCCTGACACGTGGCTGTGCAGCCACAGAGGATGTCAGGCATCGGAGGCCCCGTCTGCTGCGGGAGCTTAGGCCTGCACAGCATCCGGAGTCCTCTCACCGCCATCCTTTTCCTGGTGTCCTCACTTGTGCCAAGAGGCAGAACTCAGCTGACATACAAAGACAGGGAAAAGCCTGCTTGGAGGATCAGAGAATACAGCCTCAGGGCTTTGAAAAGTAAGTCTTTATAAAACCTAAGACCAAGAGAAATGCTCGAAGTTCCTTTACATTTCAACCAGCTACTTCTTTAAATGAACAAACATGTCATTGCTGGGTCTTCTTATGGGTTGGGGTTTTGTTTTGCTTTTGAGGGCTTTTTTTTTCCTTCATCTGAGATACAAGTTTCTTGAATCAAAACCTCCTCAAGAACAAATGCAGAACTGACAAGAGTGACCACCATACAGGCAGGGTAATTATACAGAATAAAAGGGAGGAGATTCAATTAAATATTTTTCCTAAAACATGCTTGGAAAACTAAACTTGATGAATTCATGCAGTGGAAAGCCACACAGAAAAGCATATCACATAAGACCAAACACAGACTCTCTCAGAGCATTTGTTGGATGACACAGCATCATACAGCATTCCCGTTTTCTGCATGTGGGTGAATGTGATGCACCACTGTGCTCAGCTACCTCAGCCTCTGGAAATCAGGCAGCTGGGGAGCAAATGAGCACAGTGGCGGAACTTGCTCCTTCAGCAACCCCACCCATTATCTCCAAGGGCAGCGTTGGATGGTCAGAAAGTCAAGGCTGAAGCTTCAGTCCAAACTTACCTTAACAGCAGCTTTCAGTGAGTGAAAGAAAAGCTGAGGTAACACAGTGTGTTTAAGCAGTTTTCCCTCACATCGCAACAGGCTAGCAATGGCAAAGCTGGAAATAAAACCTCTTTCTCCCCACATCCTGGTGTAGTTCTTCAGGTACCAAACCATACACTCTGCTTTGTGACCTGTTCTAACCAGACGGTACTGTATTGATAACACACAGCAAAAAGAAAAGATTAGGTACTAAGTATTTGCTCCCTGTTTGCTCTGAGCTGTTTCAACAGTGCAAACCAGACCTTGAGCTGACCCACCTAGCCAGGTAAGACTGCCTCTTGTCTAAGGACTTATCTGGCGATGTGAAGACAGTGTTTTGGAAACCCACATCACTTTCCCCCCCTATACATCACAGCCGGTAGGGCATATTGCAGGACTACCTGAAGTCTCTACCTGCAGTAACTGCTGGCCCCATCTCCTACTCTCTTTTCACTGTGGAAGTCTCTAGCAGAGAGATGCAATGCAGAGCAGCCCTGCTGCTGGGACTGGACCAGCTTGATGACCTAGTCACTTCCACAGCCCTAATTTTGGGGGTGTAAAAAGTAGCATGAACTATTCCCCTAAACTATTTTAGCAATGACCAAGGTTTCTAAATGCTTTCTGGGGAAGATCTGCAACTGAAACCTACTTTTTCAAGTTGCTGTATGATGGTAACTGTAGAGAACGGCTAAAGTGATACGTAAGCAGCTGACATGTCTTTCAGCCTTCTAACAAAACAGAAAATGGGTACAAAGGAACATTATTACCAAAATTCCTCATACAGGAGAATTTTTTAAAATAGTATGTTTTATGTGCATAAAAATAAGATTTCCCCTGCATACTTGGCAAATTTTGGAACAGGACAGCCTACTTATTCCTCAGCCTGTTTAAAAACATAGCATGAAAAAACTTAGCAAGCAGATGTTTGACATTTACATTCTCAAACAGTTCTGTGATCACTACTGTACAGCCTCAAAAACAGGTTGTATAGCCCATAAGCAAGTGTGTCTGTCTGGGGACAAAGTGGGGAAAACAGCAACGGCAAGCAGAACCACCCACTGCAATACTTTCACTTCTTTTAAAACTCTACATCATTGCCCAGAAGCTTTTGTTGCCAGGTAATGCAAAAATCACAGATGTGCAAAAAATAAGTTAGTGTTTAATGTGATTTGGTACTGAACATGATATGCTTCATTCTTACTGGCCACCCAGACTCTCACACCTAGTTAGTTTAAATGTGATTATTTTCTCTCCTGAATGCAAGTAGTAAGCCAGCTGTGTCCTGTTTGCTAGGGAGACCTCATTCTGAAATGTCTCACAGACAAAATACATGCTCACATTAACAGTGACTTCTTCATGTTCATTCAAAGGACTGCTGCAGCATCAGCAGAGGCAGCAGCAGCTAAAGGCAGGCAGCAATATCCAGCTAAAGCATTACTTACTATCATTTGATATTATAGGCTAGAGACAGAAAATAGCTGCTATTCATTCCCCAAGGTTGCCACTGTATTTCTCTATGCAATATACTTTTCTGTACTGCCTTGGTTTACTTTTAAATCTCCCCAGTCCCGGAGGATTCAACAGCTGCTGTTGGGATACTTGCAAATTTTGGTCTGTACACCTGCAGATTCTTCTGTTAGGATGTTTCTCTTGATTTTTCCAGCCTAGATTTCTATTTTCTTCATATCACAGCTAATTATGGCTCAAAAAGTGCAAGTTAGAAAAGGGAATGGGGAATAAGGAAACCCCAACCAGCTCAGGGAAAATATGATAGACAATGCTTTGAGATGCACCCACACAGCAGCAGAAAATACGCGGAGAGGGCCAGCAATCAGCAGAGAGGTGAAGAAATAGGGAGCGATGCAGAAGTCATGAAGAAAGTATGCAAGGGAGCAGTTACCCTGCAGGGAAGAAAAAAAGCAGGACAACTTTCAAGGGCAGAGATTAATATAACTTGGGGAGGCTGCAGTGACAGGATTTGGAAAAGAGAGGAATGGAAACAAGGTACCAGGGAAAAAATGATCAGTGGATGTAGTAGGCAAAGAATTAAGGGAATAGCAAAAGAAAATGGTAGGGCTCAGGTAAATAGGCATGAAAAGAGTCACCTGTGCTTTTGTAGCTGCTTAAATTGTGCTGTATGCCTCCCTAAAT